TGGAGCCCAAGTGCACTACTGGTTCAGAGTCAGGGTTTTCCAATTGCAATTTTGGCATTAAAGCTAGAGTCAGTTCTTGATGAAGACACGAAATCTTATTCATAACTTTAACTACCGACTTTCAATATTAACCCGAATTCCTCACACAGGTTTACATCCCCCATTTGGTCCTATTTATTAAGTAGAAACTCCCAAAGTCAGTCAGCGTCACTCATACGTCGTCCATAAATCATAGTCTCACCGAATTCTCATTCTGTTAATTAGCGGTAGCCCCTGTTACTTAGGTAACTAACAGGCAGATGTTTACAGACAATCGGAAAAACGAAATTGAGATGGGAAGGAGGAGAGAGTGAAACGAAACGAAATGACGCTCAGCGGTCAATTTAATCAAGCGTTACTGAGTAATCGTATTTGTGCAATTATGAGAATGAATGGAAAAGAGCGAATACTCAAAATGACTAACTAGAAAACAAGTCTGTGTTAACAATTCCAACAGAAGTATAGACCATCGGCTTGATCCATTTCAAACTTGAAATAATCAAAGCAAGTCTAATTTAGTCATCCTTTTGGGTGGTTCAAAGGTAATTCAAACAGTGTCTTCTATCGATACATGTAAAAGGATATGAAAAAATTCTGTCACGGAATAAAATTGAAGAGAATTCATTGCCTCATCCTTGACCAGATATTTTATCTTGTAGCTGTAAATATATCCCCAGAATGAATAGCTCTGTAAGTGTTCAACATTGGATGCTGACCACATTAGTTTCGATGGACTCATTTAGCTGAAGGTGCTCGGTCATGCATCTGCACCAGATGACGAGTTGGAACGGCGTACTCAACGTCTGCTGTGATCACTAGCCAGTTTAGATCAGTCACTTATCGATATAGAGATAATCTATCAAACATATCTTCCAGCCTCCTAACTTCCGACTTTTGATTTTGTTGGGTGTGCACGATTCAATTATAGAAAATGTTATTGGTAAAGTGTTGTCAAAATACAATACCTCTGGTATCTTCAACCCTAATGACCTGGTTTGGTTTAACCTTTTCGCATAAATATTCATGTACATTTGATGAAAGCCTGATGACTATCTAACTTAAAACAATTGTAAGCTTACATGTGTTGTTCACGTGCAGTTTGGATTAGTCCTTTTGTTACCATATAGAACTGACAGAGTCATCTGTACGAAAACAGCATATATATGTCATTGTACATTTATAATTGTTCTGCTTGTATGAATATTTATGATTGAGAATGGCTTACTGCCTACATGTATATTCATTCCACTTGCCTTACTGTTAGTCGCCTAATTGATTCGATGATTCACTTATTTCACTATGTATATATATGAACATTTCAATCCTGTTGATCCACTGACTTGCCCACTTGCCTTTTGACACTATTCTTTCAGGCTTGCTTAGCGTACATGTAATCTTGATTATCTGTGTGTGGTACAATAATGAACTTATTGAACGCTTCATATTTACCATCTGATTAATTCACCATTGGGGCGTTATCTAGCGATGGTGATCAGGACGTACTGTATACGAAGTTTAAGAACTGTATTGAATGACAACCACCAGAAATGTGTCAGAGAAACATGAATTCATTATCTATCGTGCCAATTAACCACAACTGTGAAAACGGCTGCACAAATTTGGAAATATACTTCTCCAACGGAGAGATGTAATTCGTTCAATCGATTTTCCCTCATTCGCCTGATGATGCAAAGATTTTGAAACTGTATGCCTTTGGGAATTTACTTTGATTTTCTGGATTGAGTATGAAATAACACCAACTTCTATCATTTCTGTTATATCTTGTAAAAATTTCAGAGTGAAAATTGGTACTCCCTAATCTCGCGAGTGTGGGATCGTGGATGCGCACTGCTGAGGAGCCCATAGTAAGACGAAACGGCCATCCAGTGCTTCGAGGTTTTCCATGGTGGTCTAGCTTCGACTGACTCACGCTTTCAACTGTGAAAATACTAAATCTCTACGAAACCCCCTCTGCTAGTAAATTATTTGACCATTTTCTTGACAAAAACATATTTCTGTTGACCTCAGTTCTTTACAGAAATATCAATGATTATTATACTTTGTTGTCGTCTATCATCGCATTCCATCTCATTAACCAAACAATATGGTATTCTCTGTTATGTAGAATGGACGTACTATGAAGGTCGGTCAGAATAAGAAACATCGCTTTCTAATAATACGTTGTGTCTATTTGGCTGACATTCACCTACACATATAGAGAAAGTATGAGAGAAATTCTCATCTAACAATGGATTACCACTTATCTAAAAACAAAATGAAGTGAGAACACATTTTTAGATTGTCGATCAATAGAATGATTTGCTTCCGCTAGGAATGAATACTGTAACAATTAACCATCTAATTTCAAATGAGTTTCGAGGGTCTTTTTCATCGAAGCATTTAGTCTACATATCCTTCGTTTTTCAATCTATAGAACTGTCATTACTGATTCCGAGTCTTTGAGACTCCATTAGTTGTAAATTTCTGTGTATATTGGTCTATGTGACTGTGGTGAATCATTCTGACTGTAGTTTCTATATTGTGTAATAATAATTGAACTAGGAGAGCATTCTAGGAAATCGGTCAACATATGAGATGCAGTGTCTGTGAGTTGCTGTCAGATTTCGGTTTTCGCACTATAGAACACTGCAGTTGACATGCTACTATGTATGGACTAGACGATTCACATATATTTTTATCAAAGTCGTTCCATGTTCAACTCAGTGAATGTTAGTTTGACTTTATCATACATCATTCGACATTGTACAGCGAGATCCTTATTTATTAAACGTTTTGACAGATGTGTCTATAAGCTCCTATAGACACATTCTACTGTTGACAAAATGTATGTTTGTGTTGAATATTGATTTAGCTCATATATCATAATAACAATTAACTTATAAAGTTGCATTGTATAAAAACTTCGCACGATAAAAATCCTACAATAATTTTGCCGAGATCGGATCTTGTGTGTCATATGGACGTGTTCCGTCTTTGAAAAATACATCGAAGACTACACAGAATATCTGAACAAATGAATCGATATACAGTTTTGAAGGTTTTATTAACCGAACAACCCTGCTTGAGATGCATATTGTGAAACAGTAACTTTTCTAACCGCTAGACTATGCCCGAAAAATGACATGTACCTACCCTGGCAGAAATATATAATATCATATCATTAAATTAACATCTCACACACCCAGGAACTGGTTGGCACTCTGCATGTTGAATATGGTTGCCTTTGGTTCATTACTACTTGTCACAACTTGTCTTATATACGTCTAATCTATTGTATGATCTAATTCCTGAAAATAAATCAGGCTAGTTTTGCTATTTTGTTGGATGATTTTCTGTTTTGTGCTCAACATATATATTTTTTCAATCAGACTAGTTGTATACATTCCAAAGGAACCACTCTCAAAGCGATTTTGGCATAAAATACACTTAAACGCTTAATACTACAACGCGCTACTAAGAAACTACGTGTTAAGGTTTTAGATTATAACTCACAGTTTGATAAACAATTTATTCAGTCAGTTATTATTAACTTAGAGCGTGGCAGGAGTATGTGTCGACCTGGATTGTCACACTTTGTTTCTGTATACGGAAAGAAAATAAGATAGGAAGCATTAAATGAGTCATAATACGAGAAATAAAAATCGGAACATATGGGACACAGTTTGAAGGGAATAAGTATGCTCAAAGGATGAAAATGAAGGAACGGCACTTAACATTGTATTTAAAGAAAAACGAATGCAACTGTACCATCACGACTAACTCTACGCCATCTTTACTGTCTCTGACCATTGATAGGGTGTATCGCTCTAGCCTCAATCAGTAAGTTTACATCCGACTACGTAGCTTAAACCAATAGTCAACGATGTGGACTAATACCATGTGTTTAGTTGCCCATTTGTAGCTATTTCTGCTGAGGAAATCCAAGGTATTACTCGAAGAACTTCAGAGGGGCCTTAAAACTCGGGAAAACATTTTATCCAATCAGTGTTGAGTAGAGGTGTCTTGGAAACATCTATAAGGTGAAGAGTTATTTGCCACATTTTCGATTTCAAAGCAATGAACGTCGTCTATTTCAAATGATATTTTTTCAGTAGTGAGACTTCAACAAATTGGACATTTGCGAATGACTGATTGTTGATTACCGTTGTCACAAAATCATATATACATGATACTGTTAATTCACGAACGTAATGTGATAAACTCTTGTAAAACTAACCAGCTACATTCGAAACATTGACATTCGAGACCGTCTAGAGAATAAAACGGCCGCAATATTACTAAACATGAAGTATCATTCAAATTGGGCATCATTCACTTAACAATATTGTCAGGATTGATGATTGAAGTGAGTTCATCACTTAGTTATATAATTTATATTAGCACAATGTTTGTTTCAGCCACTTTATTATCATGCGTAATAAATTGTACATGGGAAAAATACTGAAATTTCGTTTACTAATCGATCTTAGAAAATGTGCTACCGACATCACTAGATACCCATCCGCACTTCTACTGTGAAGAAATCCATACATCTCGACTTATATACACAGTATATTAGTACAGAAAGCGTCAGTAGACATGGATTATGAAATTCTTTGTTGATGGAGTTTAGCACAGAAAACGAAAACAACACGATTACGAATTCACGACAACAACCCAAATGGTTTTTGTGAGAGTACCAAGGATGATGGTTGTTGAAATGAAAACGCAGATAGTTGATTTAAATTTAGATAAATTCAGTGGTTAACTGTTCAGAACACTTGACCATCAACACCAGATATTTTCAGGATCAGATTGTACCATGATCAAGGCTTGCCTACTGACTATTAGATGTGTGATTTTCTTTTTCTTAGGTTTACCAGAGAGCTAGAAGAAGAGATACACGTTAGGTATTCCGTTATATCACATTGACTCCCAGTTCTAAGTATTACTTTTAAATGATGATGCGATTCATTTGCCAAAAATCAATTTCATCATTCGACTTGAATGTAAATTTTAAAACTATTTTCTTATGTATTGCTTATATATATCCATTTAAAGTGCGCGTTGAACGTGAACAACTCCAGAATGAACGTAATCGTCTAATTCTACAAAAGGATATACTTGAAACTTTATGTCGTGAATTACAAAAACAAAATAAAATCATTCAGGTTGGAATTTTGTTTGTTGTTTCCTTTTTGGTTAATCATTTTGACTACAAAATTTTTTTCCCAAACCGAGAAAGGTGGAACGGAACTGGAATCCTCAGCCCAGCGGTTGAAAGTTGAACCCCTCAATCAACAAGTCACCCACATTTCCTACCGTTAAATCATAAGTTCGAACCTCATTTGACCTTTTTCGTTTTACGTTTAGTTGGGTGTATCATTAAGCTGAATGTATCTGGTTATATGACTTAATGGAGGGGACCTTAATGCATTACACTTTAAAGCACAATAACAACAACACAGTTTTCAAACTCCAATGTCCCAATGAATCAGGTATTCATCGTAACGATGGATCTTAAATATAGGGAAATGTATGTGCTAGTTTTCCATAGTCCGCAGTAGCATAAATGATACTATGTTTATAGGCGCATCCTTCATGTTTGTGGTCAACGCGATTATCGTGACTAAGAGTTAGAGACCTCTGATGACACGAATCAGAATCGGTCTCAATCAAAATTGTGTTACTGAATATTAGTAAGTAGTATGGAGTAATACACAAAAGTGTTGTGTAAAATGAGTACTAAAGAATATAGACGAAATTAACATCTACTGTTTTAAATGTATGTCCTTATTACTTCAGGAAGAAAGCTTGTCACGTGCACGTATTGAAGACGAAAAACGTCGGGAAGTTTCAGATCATTTTCAAACAAGTATAACAAGTATCCAAAATCAATTATGTGAATATCAGTCGAAAAATGTGGAATTACGTAAAGAGAATCAAGAATTAGCTGATAAATTGGGTGAATTTATTAAACAGCATGAAAAACGTGAAGAACATGTAGATAAGGTTAGTATGTCCAGTGGTCTGCTTTACTAATCATTATTATGAATGAAGTAATCTATTTCACTTACATTTTGTCTTCCTCCACCACCTTCATTTCATCGGATCTCACCAATTCGGAAATTTTTGAGTTAGTTAGTTTAACTTCTGTCTTATAACTTTACTCTACTGACACAATAATATGGGTGATGAGTTTAGGGTTTTTGCACGTAGTTTGGATTCATACTCAATTCTCTTGAGACCATCTGTCAATACTACTCAGTTGCTCAAATCTAAATACTTGATATAAGGCTTCAAGGTTTATTATATTACTCATAGGAAAGGTAAACGCTTGTTCTAGTACACTCACACAGACATGTATATATATAGTCTTTATCATACCTCATAATATTTTCACTCATTCTTACAGCTTATGGAAACACGTAGTTTAGAATTGAAATTATCTGAAGCAAAATTGAACAAGACACAATGTTTTTTGGATCAGGAGAAAGCGAAAAGTCAACAGAAAATTTATGCATTAGAAGAGGAAGTGAAATATTTAAAGAATCGTCTGGATATTCAAAAAACTATCGAAGACAAATTAAAAGAACAGGTAGAAATTGTGTTATTTTGTATGACATTCTTGACTCCTTCTGTCCTTCTTTCTTTTAAGGGCAATACACTAATCATGGTGTGAAATTCTACACTAAGTTGTTTTGAAAGTCACTCCTTGGTTACGTCTCAAACTGGGCTATCGGGGTTTAGATATCGCAGGAATTATCAACCCATGCGAAATTGTGGATACACCTTCTCACTATTAGGAATCGGTCTAAGTAGTAAATTTGAGCTGCACGATTTGTTTCTTGTTTAATTATAATATGTAGCTAACTACCAATACACTGAGGTAAGTTGGTAAAGGGGAATTTAGGAAGTTTAAATCTCTCAATAGTGGCTACTATCCAACTAAACAACTGATTTAAAATCCAATAATCCACTTTATCTGGAATTGTTTCAATTAAAAGGTCACAATTTCTCACTAAAAATTGACTACTTAATTATTGAAGTTAGGTAACTTGAATGCATAAACTCTTTGTGTCACATAACTATAGAAAGTCACTTCACATGTTGACCTGAACTGGTTTTTATAATAGATCGGTCCTAGCTTTCAGTGGGATCCAGGGTGCGCACATTTCGTCCTATCCTGGACACGTCATCTGGATGTAGCTCCATTGTAGTATTGACGTTCACACTATGACTTAAAGCCCAAATACTTTTCGCTTTCAAAATCAACATGTTATCTACTGAGCTACTAAGTCTAAATAGTCACTAACTTGTTCAATAAGTGTCGAGCGCGGATAAAGCAGGAGGGTTGAGCATCGGGTTAGCGACCCCATCCCGTTGAAAACCAACACGCAAAAAACGCTAACAAGATATTGCTAATCAAACCATTTTAACTCAACTCTGGGAGTTGAAGGAAGAATTATGACGCCTCATGATGAAAGCTGAGTTCACACGAAAGTCACGATACCGATGTCCCTTCTAAACATGAAATATAAGAAAGTTTTATGTTTTCTTGTTTAGTAATTGATAAATAGTTTATATATGGCATATATCACGGCAAGCCAATGCAACACCAGTTAACTTGTCATTTTTTCTTCAGTGGATAGCCTGATGTTTAATCAACGTTGTTCTGTAGGGTTATTTCCAGTGCCAGAGCGAGTTATTGATAATTATCTACAACTAGAGTAAGTAAGATTAAAGCAAAGAGCACGGAACAACAAAACAATGATAGCAAGTAAGAGGTTAAACACTTAAAGTTCCGATAATCTCACTTGTAAAGTAAGATACACTTGCAGGCGCTATAGCATTTAATGCATTTTCAGAGGAGCAAAAGGCATTAATGGATCGAACAAACAATAGGAGAGAGTTTAACGTACGGATAGTTTGAGGTACACAAGTGGCATTGTTGCTGTACAGAAAAGCATAAAATGCACTTATAGGATGGGAATCTCATGGACCCAGGATCACCAAAGCCTCCTTCAAAACAATGAAAGAGGGCACTACAATGAATATCATCCAGCCAACAAGAGCAGAAAAAGCTAGGGCACAATCGGAATACACTGAAGTAAACAAGCAAGTGATGATGAGTATCAGAGACAACAAACTTTATTGTGTGGAAGATTTAGCAATGACAGCGGAAAAGGCTGCAAGATAAGGCAATATGAGACAATTGTATGATACCACAAAGCAACTCGCTGAAAATTACCGTAAACCAGAACCACCAGTGAAAAGCAAGGAATGCCATGTAATCTTTAACATTGAAGAACAACGAAAGAGGTGGATGGAACACTTCAAAGAACTCTTGAATTAACCAGCTCCACTGAACCCACCCAACATCGATGCAGCACCCACGGACCTCCAAATCGATGTTGGCCCACCAACAATTGAAGAGATCAGCATGGCCACCAGATGAATCAAGAGTTGCGAAGCAACAGGACCAGACAACATTCCAGCAGACGCATTGAAAGCGGATGTAGCAGCAACTGCAAAGATACTCCACATTCTCTTCTGTAGGATTTCGGATGAAGAACAAGTACCAGCAGAATAGAAAGAGGTACTTCTGATGAAACCACCAAAGAAAGGCGATCTCATCAAGTATGATGACTACAGGGCCATCACTCTTCTTTCAATACCAAGAAGAGTCTTCAACAGGGTATTGTTAAACAGAATGAAGGACTCCGTAGATTCCCAACTTCGACACCAACAGGCTGCATTCCATAAGCGCCGACCGTGTACAGACCAAATCGTAACTCTACGGATCATAGTGGAACAATCAATTGAATGGAATTCATCACTCTACATCAACTTCATTGACTCCGAGAAAGCATTTGATAGAGTGCACAGGATAACACTACGGCGTACCTGAGAATATAGTCAACGTCATACTGAATTCATATGATCAATTAAACTGCCAAATCGTGCATGGAGGACAACTCACTGACTCATTCTTGGTAAAGACCGGTGTCAGGCAAGATTGCTTACTCTCATCCTTTCTATTTCTCCTAGTGATTGACTGGATTATGGAGACGTCAACATCTGGAGGGAAGTAAGGAATACATTAGATAGTTAGGATGAAGCTGGACGATTTAGACTTCGCAGATGATCTGGCTCTTCTATCACACACGCAATCACAAATGCAGGAGACGGCCAGTGTATCAGCAGCCTCAGCAGCAGTATGTCAATGTAAACAAAGGGAAAAGCAAGACTCTCCGATACAATACAGCATGCACCAATCAAATTACGGAGAAACTTCGGAGGATGTGAAAACCTTCACATATCTGGGTGGCATCATTGACGAACATGGTGGATCTGATTCAGATGTGAAGGCGCGGATCGGCAAAGCAAGAGCAGCATATTTACAACTGAAGAACATCTGCAACTCAAAACAATTATCAACCAACACCAACATCAGATTATCGAGACAATCCTCACATATGCCAGTTAGAGAGACTGATCAATTTCATTCCAAAACATCAATGAGAATTTTCATGCAACCAGCGCAAATGAATCTCTGCGGAAAGCTGTCTCATAGTTCCATGAGAATGAGATCGAATATCAACCAACTTGGAACCTGTTGTTGAGATTTATATTGAGTTGGTTAAGTTTGTGAGTATCTCGAAGGAAGGCTGTATTGAACTTATGTAATGCTGTTTCTCCAGTTGTTCAGTGTTTCTTTAGCTTCTGTTTCATCTTCGCCACAGGTGGTGATCTGAAGCTATGTCAACTCCTCTCCGGGTTCTCACATCTTCCATTGTCTTTCGGAATTTTTTGTTGATACGTATATGATCTATTTGGTTCTCTGTAGTGTGGTCCGGTGAGATCCATGCATCTTTATGTATGTGTTTGTGTGGAAATATTGTGCCACATATAACCTATTTGTTGAATGCACATATATTTGCGAATTTCTCCCCATTCTCATTTCTCGCTCCCTGTCCATGTCGTTCAATATATATTCATATCCTGTATTGTCCACTCCGACTTTAGCATTTAGATCTCTCATCAGGATGGTGGGGTCTTTTCTTGGGTACTTCGCTATGACTGATTGCAGTCTGTCATAGGACTGATCTTTATCGTCGTCGTTGCTATCACTGGTGGGTGTATAACATCGGATAACATTCATTGTGATCGCCTCCTTCTTTGACTTGAATGACGCTTTGATAATTTTGAACTCCAGAGATTCCCATCCCACGAGTGCATTTCGTGCTTCTCTAGACAGCAGTAGAGCAACTCCCTGAGTGTGTTGAGCATTTTCCTCTTGGTGACCAGAGTACAGCAGCATCTCTCCCGTATCCAGGCCTAGCTATCCAGCATAGGTCCTAAGGGTTCCACTGATTCCAAGTACTGCCAATTTGTATCTCCTCATCTCCATTGCTATTTGACCAGTCTTGCCAGTCTCCCACATTGTCCAGACGTTCCATGTACTTATAAAAACTGTTGCTCCGGTTGTTACAAGGGGCATCGATCTCGTGACTTCTGAAGGAACTCGGATTTCATTATGAGTAGTCATAATTCTTCCTTCAACTCCCAGAGTTGAATTAAAATGGTTTGAATAGTATTTTCTTGGGTAATGATTTTTTAGCGAGTTGGTTTTCTACTGATTGGGTCGCTAACCCGATGCTCAATCCTCCTCCTTTATCCGGGCTTGGGATCGGCAGTAAGTCTAGAAGAGCTACAGGCGGATTTAGTGTCTAAAGTTATAAATACAAAATCATTATTATATTTCTTAATTTTACAGTTGATAAAATATTAAAGGTGAATTCATCCAGACTATTTATTGAATATAACAAATTTCACGTCGATTAATTTATGACTACTACATATTACTAATAATAAAAATAAACTAACATCATTGATAATCGAAGATGGATAGTGGCTAGCAGTGGAATCCAGGACGCGCGTTTCGTCCTATTTCGTACTCGTCAGCTGGATGTACCTGCATCTCAGAGTTAATGTTCACTTTGGGACTCGAACCTTATACCTTTCCCTTCAAAGAGACTAACCAGTTGCAGTTCTAAACAACAATGGGAAGATTCAAATAAACAATACTAAATGAATATAAGTTAGATTGTTTGAAATTGATGCCATTTGTTTCAACTATGTATAGAGTAAATGTAGTCTTGCACCTTTTTGGATAGATCACTAAGAACTTGAAATCTTCCTTTCTAATGTTATGTCCCTTATCAATAAATTGAAAAAAAGTGGTACCATTAATATTTCCTAACTTTACCGATACATGTTGACGTGTGAATAAAGTTAAGGACATATGAGTACAGTCAATACAACCAAGTTACACAAATCCGGTGAAATTGATCAATATACATAGATGGACCCATTATTGCTGTACTATTCGATTTGTTACGATTAGAATATTGAAGCTTAAAGTTCTTACCTGATAACTAATGTCAATTTATATGGAAAACCTTAACCTTGACTTATAACCTTTTCTTAATAACTAATTTATGACCATTGAAGTGGTTTTCATGTTTCTCATTAGTACAGTTATATACTTTGGATGTATTTATCTATTATAACGTGTGAGTGCGTGCATGCCCTGTTTGCTATATGAACGTACTGATGCCCGCCAATGAGAGAAGAGCGAATTATCCCATCGCAGCAATGATACACAAAAGCCATTTGAGCAGTCTTGAGTACTTATCAGTGCTGCTATCTGCCTAGCCCAGTCAGTTAAGTCCAGAACACCAAATAACAGCCTGTGCAATATGAATCATTATTCACAAACATACTGGGTTTATATACCAATCAAACTGACCACATCGTACCGATAAAATAGAAAATAACATTTGTACAAGATTTAGCCAAATGTGGCTATGAATACTTACTTACTTACTTACTTACGCCTGTTCCTCCTCGTCGAGGAGTATAGGCCGCTCACCAGCATTCTCTATCCAACTCTGTCCTGAGCCTTCCTTTCCAGTACTTTCCAGTTGCTATTCATCCTTTTCATATCAGCTTCTATTTCCCGGCGTAGTGTGTTTTTTTACCTTCCTCTTTTCCGCTTCCCTTCCGTATTCCAAGTTAGGGATTGAGTCGTGATGCTCATTGGTGATTTCCTTAATGTATGTCCGATCCACTTCCAACGTCTTTTCCTTATTTCCTCTTCAGCTGGAAGCTGGTTTGTCCTCTCCCATAAAACGCTGTTGCTGATAGTATCCGGCCAATGGATGTTGAGTATTTTGCGTAGACAACTGTTTATAAATACTTGTACCTTCCTGATGATGGCCGTAGTAGTTCTCCACGTTTCAGCTCCATACAGTGGGACTGTCTTGACGTTCGTATTAAAGATTCTGACCTTGAATAGGGGGAACAGTAATCAATAGACTGGGGATAACTCAAGAATGGTAAATCGCAGAGTAATGGTCTATAGGTCAAAATAAAGCTTATAATAAGAGGAACATGAATATGAATAGTTTAGTTACTTAACAACTATACAATAGGAAATATACTTATCATATTGGTCTATAAATAGTCCTCGACGGTTACCATTCATAATTCTCCAAGGGATATAACACATCAAGTTACTTTTTCAATAGGTTACCAATTTGTTTATACATTCTTCTTTTTTTACTTATGATACTTTTGTTTCCTTTTTCTATTCCATTCATTCATTTTTTCTCTCTTTTTTGCGTAACTCCCATTTCATCAATTCATACATACAGATTGTATTCTATAAAGAGAAATATCAATCATTCAACAAAACAATGTCAGACAGTCGAAAAATGTTTGATACTGCTAAAGAGGAAATGGAGAAGGTGAGAAAAATGTCTTTCTTTTTTCAATATATATATATATATGTTCTTTCTATGTGCCTCTTAAGGAATTAAGCCAATCAGTAAGTGGTTTATGTCTCAGTCAATGGATAAAGGGTTTTACAAGATCATGGGTCAATTGAAGGCAATTGTTAACATCGTCGAATGTCTATCGGCTTAATGGTCTAGAAGTTAAGCGTTTGCGCACGGGACCGAAGGTTCCAGGTTTGATTCTCGCGCGCCGAGTCATAAATGTGCACCTCTGAGGAGTCCAATACTAAGGCGAAACGACCGTTCAGTGCTCTCACGTGCCGACCGGTTATCTAAAATTGATTCATAATTTCAACTGTGAAAATACTACAATCTATACAATCTCCTTCACACTAAAACTGTCAATGTCGAATTGACTAGTTTGATGTAATGTTAACATGAATAAGTTTATCAGTCAGTCAGTCAGCTACAACGTAGGACTAGGCACATATATGCATAGAAGTAGTTAGTTTAGTGCTGTTAATATATAAAAGAAATATTGTATATAAGGATATAGTATAAGAAGAAAGAAAGTTTTGAAGCAATTTTAATCTCAAGGTTTAAGGGAAGATAAAGAGTGTATACACCTACGCCGTTGTTTATCGACTCTGAGCCATGTCACCTAGAGTCTCCAACCATTGGTTACGATAGTCGCGCGGACCGCAACCAAGTAGTTTTCATCTGCCAACATAGCTCAGACTAGAAGTTAGTGACTTCAAGCTCGGATGCCATACTTTAGTTTAACGGCCCCTTACTCTCTTCCAACCATCGTCAATACTAGTCAAAACTGCGCATCGTGGTAATCGGTGTTCAGGCATACGTAACACGTGGCCTCACAGTCTCAGTCGATGAAGATTCATGACCTCATCAACTGAGTGACCATCATTCTCTGATACCCTGTGTCTAACCTCACTATTACTTACTCGGTGATCCCAGCAAGTGCGAGCAATATTTCTAAAACATCTGTGATCAAATACAAGTAACTTAAGAGTTAAATCCTTGATTTGTTTACAAGACTAAAATAATATCAATCATATTGTAAAGATATGTACATAATAACAATAATATCTGAATAAGATGAATGTAATTCCTATGAAAGTACATAGAAGAAAAACGTTGACGACTCTATACACATCAGTTAGATCAGGTCATCTTGACCTATTGGATTTGTTGTTGACCATTTTAAGGTAGGAGAGAATGGACGTATTTCCCTTTTTATACATACAATGCACCGATTGATGTTTTAATTAATCCAGATGGCTATAGCTTCTACCATTTGAAACAAATCTAATTCTGATAGATTTCGGTAAAAATAACCATTTAATAACGCTGTGGTATATGCTATTTATGTCTTTCGACATAAGTAGTATGTAACACCGGTGAGAAGTGGAGACCCTGGCAGCAGAATGCTAAGAACATCAAGTTGATGGGAATAGAAGCAGAAATAGAAAGGAATTGTGAATGGGAAGAATCACGCTTAATGTGACGTACAGATGATGGAAATTTACAAATGAAGTATTCAATGTACGGTTCTAATGTTGTACCAAGATTTGTTATTTCTTTATTTGATTGAACACATAAATTTTGGTAGAAAGGGTCACCGAATACATATGCGCCACACAAATCTCTTTTGATTTGTATGAGGGCTGTGATACTGCCCAGGTGCCCAAACTGAACCAGGTGGTTTTCTTAGGGGGCCACACCCGAGGCCTTTGACCTAAAGGTCTGATCCACAAGGCAGTGGAGCATCATGAGGAGATGCAGTCCCATGGTAGCCGGTGACCGACGATTGGTTCATACGCCATTTCTGTCCTCAGGATACTGTAGTCCATGTGCACGATTGGTTTGGAATCAGGGTTTTCCAACTCCTCCAAGGTGGACACGCCGTGTCCACCAACCCGGTTAAAGCGTCGGATATTCACTTTTAGTCCTCTCAATTTTGTAAACAACACCCCTGGTGAGAGAAGGCAGTGAGTAGGACTTACCTGGCAGATGCCATATACGCGTAGTCATATGAAAGCATTTCGAGAGAGAGAGAGCGGACTCTCCCCACTCTCGGCCGTTCCAGGGTATTTAGGGGCATCACAAGGCCTCGCCGAGATATTCTGTAACTTGGTTTTAGATTACATTGGTTGTCCCCGCTTGTGTTTCCGTTCATCATAATCCGATAAACTGTTGAAAATAGTTGATTTATGCTGGCAATATGATAAGTTGGAATTACATGAACAAGTAATTCATCTGTTAACTGTTTTAACTACGCTTTTGTTTGGCATATTGCCTTGATATTATTATTTTGGTCAAAAGACTGATCATTTCCAGAGTTTTCATGTTCAACAACGAGAAGAATATACAAGCTGTTATATCATATTGCCATCTGACCGATCTTACCATATTTGTAGTTTTTTTCGACTGGCGAACGTTTTATTATCGGGGTAGACATATTCAGTATAAATGTATAACAGTTAAAGTATCATTTGATTGTCAAATTTAATCAGGAGTATGGGGTTGTGCAATTGTAGAGTTTTTGATCGAGATCATGAATCGATCAATGTTAGACCACTACTAGAAACCTGGAAACATTGATTGATTCATGATCGCAATCAAAATGTCAACTATCTCCACAACTCTATTCTGATAATAATCGTGTGCTCACTAGTGACTAGCTTCAAAATGTAACTCCTGGAGTTCGAGAGAGAAGCCGTGATCAGTGGAACTAATCCGTGTCGGGTGTGAGGCAGTTATCCACCTCAGACAATGGAAGATGGTCGCACAATATCATGGATTAGTGGAAATTAGACATTTTTATCGTTGAGTGCCGGCTCAATGATCTAGAAATTAAGCGTTCGTGCGCGAGTTAGGTGCTGAGTTAGATTCATGTGTGCGGCATCGTGGACACGCACTGATGTGGAGTCCTATTGAAGAACGAAACAGCCGTTCAGTGTTTCCAGGTTTTCAGTGGTTGTCTAATATTGATCAATTCCTGATCTAAATGAAAATCCTATTAAAATTAGATTACGTGATAATCAGATTTTGTTTCTTGTAATATTTCATTTTCAGCTTGGTAAACGTATTCAATTAAGTGAGAGTGAAGCAGTTGCATGGCAAGGTAAATGGGAAGTTAGTCAACGTAGTTTGTTGGAATTAGCTGAACAGTATAAAAAAGAAATGTCAGAATCATTGAATGCCAAGAAACAAGTAGAAAAACTTAGTGAATTATGTAGAGCTTTAAAAGATCAATTGAATGAATTAAGAAAACCACAACAATGCCAAAAGGAATCACAAAACTTGGAAGCTAAACAAAATGAACAAGAACTGATGTCCACTGCGTCTTCCACTTCTTGTTGTTGTCATCATCATCCTAGTGATGATGATCATCAACATCTTCATGAGGCAGAGAAGACAAAGGAAAAATCTGTTGACAATTGAATGGAAGATTCTAATTTGATTCATCAAAATAATAATGATAATACTAATCTAAATAGTAGTACAACAAATCAATCAGGTTCTCATAGTAATAATACTCATAAAACGGATGGAAATGTTGAACTCTATACAGCAACAATGACGACAATTGGAAAGAGTAGTTCCATATACAATGAATCCAATTGTTCCTCGAATTCATTAATTCCCTGTACAGATAGCATGAATGAAGTAAAATTAGATTGTAGTATAATTGAAGATGGTAAGTTGTTGACTAGTTGTAGTGATCAATTGTGTTTTTATTTAAATTGATATTAATATTAGTAATAAGAAATGACTCGATTATTAGTCAGTTTGTAGCCAATAGTTCCCATGTATCAGAAGAAATTTAATGTGAAATATGACACAGGTAATTGAGGTAATCTCTTGTATTGTAAGATTTATGAAGGTAGTTTTCACTTCCCAGTTCCCCACGTCTTGTAAGGATAGTTCTTCTTAAGGTCAGTTAGTCAGTCAGTCAAATGGAACATATAACGTGATACGTATGTACACCAGTTTAAGTTGACATGCCATTTTAGCACAGGGAGATGAAATTCCTTTTTTCTCGAACTTCTTTTAAAAGATACTGGATAAATGGTTATTTTACCTACCTGACAGCGTCACTACAGATCTCAAGAAACGATTATGACTTTTCGTGAGTAGTTTTGAATGAGTTGGATCTGTACTTCAAAAGGCCTTGCATGTGGTGAGAGAACTCCACTAGGCGACGTAAAGTGTGCTATTTCAGGGTCAACTTTTGCTACTTATGTTGTAGAAAAGCAACATTGCTGGAGATTCTGCTTGTTTGAGAGAAACACCTCACTGCTATTACGTCTGAGTACAGTCATCAGAATAAATTTGTTCTTGACCCACGACTTGAATTCATGATCCAAGGGAAAGAAAAAGTGAATACATCTACATCATTTTAATCGAGCCATCACCCAACGTTTTCAGCTATTGATCACACGGATCACAATCAGATAATTTGCACCTACCAACATGGCTCTAACCTACAGTAGATTATTTCATAAATTTATAAAACGTCTTGGTTTTCTAGCTTCTTATCTTTCTCCCAAATCTCCAACAACTCTACTCCATATAACGTTTACTGATTCCAATTTGAATGCACAACATTGTACTCGGTCATTCAGTTTCATTTAGTATCCATTCAACAGTTTTAACAATACCGTCAAAATTGACTCACTTATACTGTGTAATCTGTGAATCACAATTCTTTATTGCATATTAATAATGTGTAATTAATCCAATGGACTTATGCAGTTATGATAAACATGTCAGAAAACAAAACAAAGTGATCCAGTTTCTGCGACGAATATGGGATGAACGTTTACTTTTGTACTATTGGTAACCATGGATACATTTGTAAAGCAGCAATGTAATTGTTAGAACATCCAAGATTTAAACTTTTTACATTCCAAGTTCGAACTCTGTTCCTTGTATTATGATTTAAGCCACTGGCTTGTAGCATCTCTATTCCTCAGATAAACATTGTAGCTTAAAATTAAATGCATAAACCTGTAGTTGATCAATGAAGATGGCTAAGACAAGTTTATGTCAGGTTCTACCTCGTCTCTTACTAACTACATTAAGTTGAATAGAGTTCGAACCTTATAGTCTGTCATTAATTCACTCATTGGCTTTAATCCCAAACATTCAGAGAAAAAACAAACAAACACTCTTCGTAGAAAGTTTATGCTCCTCTTTTTTATCTGCTAAAGTTATCTACAATGTTTCCAGGGACTTCCATTTGTTTAGTGTGTAAATGTTACGAACTTGAATGTACTATGTTTTAATCTCTACCTCTTACTGTATTTGTGTTATTGATTTGCTTTGACGATCTATTTGTGCTACACCTACATTTTCATGATAGACAGTTGTAAGTAACTTCCATACACTTGAGATTAAATGTTTTGGAGAAATTACTTTCCACATTGGAGTAGCCCGTTTACTAAATGACCAGGAAAATGATCAGCATCAAGATAACGAGTCATTAAGTTCCCTTGATTAGCGGTTACAGAAAGATAACAATGTAACTCATTATCTTCATTTAGTATATATATACACTATCATCCTTGCGAAGTTAGTGACTTTTGAGCTTTTTATAATTCATTTAAGTTTATCCATTTACCCGAGAGATTTGCCTGAGGAAACTTTATAGGGTTTAAATTGAAAGTGTCGCATGGATTTAGATGCTTTTAAAGTGAGAAGTACATAAAATATAGTATGCCGAAGGCACAGTAATGCCTGAAAATAGTAAAGGCCTTGCAGACCCCACCGGGTATCAAACTCTGTACATTCATGTCTTATACTGAGCACTACACCTTTAAACCACTGAGCTGTTACACAAACTGCTAAAAGTTAAAAAAATATCAACAAATCCTTTCTGCCCGTCAGTCGGCTACAACGTAGGATCAGGCACATATTTGCATCGGTCCAAATTGTTATACTTGATAAGCACAATAAGATGTACACCAAATTCATAGAAGCACTTACTTCGATGGTAGTAAAAAAGAAGATTTCATATAAGTAGAAAGAATTAGTTAATAGAACTGTCGATATAATTGAATGACTGGTTTAAGAAACAGAAAGAAAAATCTATCAAAATGTAAACCACAGCCTCTTCAATGCTATTCTTCTAACTTGTCAAAAAATCCAACCGGAATTTTATTAAAAGCCTAGAGTTACTGACTCAATTTGAAATGATTTATGTAGTTGAGATCATGAGTCAATTAAAGCTAGACAACCATGGAAAGCCTGGAAGCACTGGACGGCCGTTTTGTCCTATTGTGGGACTCTTCAGCAGTGCGCATCCACGATCCCGACTTGTGAGATTCGAACTCAGGACCTACCAGTCTCGCGCCAGAGCACTTGACAGGTAGACGGCAGACAGTAATCAAATAACTAAAGAACGTAACAATAATGTCAGTCTTCTTTCAAATCATATCTCAGTCCATTTTAAATTGAATAACTTTCATCAATTACTGTGCCAAGTTTAAATGATGCAATTTCTAATAAATACCCATCTCAATTTTTCAGCGACATCATCAGGGAATTCTAAAATTCCAATCTCTGAATAATCGATAAATACGATACATTGAATGAGAGAAATGAATAAGTCAGTTGTTTGGACAAAGAAATCAAGTCATCACCACCACCACCACAACAACAACACCAACGAAGTGTTGATTTTCCCTTATCCCTATATGTGTTCGGATGCTTTCCAAATTACTCCTAAAAGTAAACCAAATCAATACAGCTGTAGTTTGTTTGTATTTTCTCCATTTGTATTCCCCCTAGCCTTTATGCATTTTTATGTATTTCTTCATCAACCAATTAATTTAACACTATCCAGGAAGGAAATGTCTTCCATATGTTGATATCGATCTTGTTTTTTTAAACTCCTGGTTACTTGTTCAGCTTCAACCGACCACTTTTGTTTACTGTCAACACATTTTAACTTTTAGTCACTTTTATTTCATATGCAACAGTCCCTATGGTATACAGTAACAAGAAGAAATCACAATACAATACAGTAATAATCACATTGTTTAGGCTTTGTTTCCGATTTTCTTGTTCATTCTAACTTTGTCTACTTCCTTCCCTCCTATATATGTTACTTACCTACTTACGCCTGTTAGCCCTCGGGGAAGAGCATAGACCGCCCACCAGCATTCTTCACCCAACTCTGTCCTGGGCAATATTTTTTCCAGTTCTTTCCAGTTGTTATTCATCTTTTTCATATCTGCTTATTCCTTCAACTCCCAGGGCAGAGTTTAAATGGTTTGAATTATTTTTTCTGGTTAGTGTTCTTTTAGCGAGTTAGTTTTTCTTCAGGATGGGGTCGTTGACCCTATGCCCAACCTTCCTCCTTTACCCGGGCTTGGGACCGGCAGTAATTTTAAAGGAGCTGCAGGCGGAGTTTCTCATCTATGTATTTACTGCTTATTTGATGAATGTGCCTTATTAGTAGTAGATATAGCAACAGTAATATTAGTATACGTTACACTGTTGTTTCATCTGTCGTAGTAACGATGATGATGACGATGATGATGATGATGTAATCGACAACATATCCCTAGATTGTTCGTCTCTTTTTCAAAGATCATATTTAACACTACTATTACTGTTATTATTAGTACTATATTTATGCTGTGTGAAAGAACTTTGGCTGGTTTGTTATGTTTTACACTGACTACCATATATTAATATACATCTGTTTACCCACTAGTTACCAATCTTCCAGGACATATGCACACACACACATTCCAGCTTATTTTGCATTGTATTCACTATTTTATTTATAGAAGGTTATAAGTGAAGTGTATGTGTGTGTTTGTGTGTACTTAATGCTTGTTGATAAAACTTAGTGTAGTTGTTTTTGGATGATGATACCGTTTGCTTGTATTTACTATTATTATAGTTGATAATATACATTTTTACTAAACACAACGATTATCAGTTTTACTTACAAACATCAACCTTGGGAAGTAGGTACATCCACCTGACGAGTTCTACATAGGATGAAACGCGTGTTATGCATCCTGCTGGTAGCCACTATTCAACTCTGATTATAATACTTGTGACTTAATGGTACTGTCGAAAGAATCCGTACAGTATATACTTACATAAAAAGACTGATTAACCTCAGTTCTAAACATCTATGTGGATATTTAAACAAATGAATACATATGATAAATGTATAGCTTCTGGATCACTGAGACGGCTTCTGTGTTAGCACCTATTTCAATTAATATTTATGATATTGCTCAATCCTCATCCATTGTCTTCGGTTAATAACTGCCTCACACCCTACACGGATTATTTCCATTAGTCACGGCTCCTCACTAGAACTCTCAGAATCATTCAAAAACTCAACAATCTCCACAACACTATACTGACAATATTGAATGTGCACGAACTGTTAGGGTCACCTTTCAGTAGTCGATAGTTTTTATGTTTTTAACCTGTTGACTTGATAGTTTTTTTGTATCATTGCTCTCATCGATAATTCACTCCACTCTGATTGGCGGTTTTCATCACGTCATACGTTAACGAAGCATACACTCGGCCACAAGTGATAACAGCTCTGAGGATCAGTTGTTTGAGTTGAGCTACTATAAACACCCGTGTGAATGTTCTACGGAGGCCGAGGTCTAAGAATAACGATTGTTCCCCACAAGTTTTAATCACCGTGTCATGGGCCACGATGAGTGACAATTTAGTACACTCAATGTGTCGTCGTTGTGAGAGATGTAGCGTGAGATCGCTGATTTCTGCTCCAGTACCGACTAAAAAGTCCTAGCCAGAAATATGATCCCGGATGTGGAAGAGACAGGTTGTGTAGTGGCCTGAAACGTGCGCCGCCAATATTGTCTGGCCGGGCCGTTTCCCTGGTCCTCTGTATTAGTTGAAGGCGGTATGCATGGACGTGTGCAACGCCGGTCCTTAGTGCCGTATTTTTTTGATACCAACAGAATTCGGAGTTTTGTTGAGGAGAACGCTGCCTGGAAAAACATCTCCGTCTGGAAGGGGATCTGAGTTGCCTAGGTTGAACTGTTGCAATTGTTGTTTGTGATGCAGCTAGTTGGTTCGTCATTTGCGTTAACTGCTGTTGGAAAAAAGCTAAAAAAATTGTATCTGCTGTTTCAGAGGGTTGTACGAAGTTTACCCAATGGCTCTCAGTGTAAATTTCCATCATTTCGTCGGCCATATTTGCTAAATCATTGAGGTTAACTGAATTTTCTGATACGCTGAGGATTTGCCTTTCATTATGCGGTAGACTTTGAAACTACAATAGTCTCAGCAGTGTTTCATCTAGCTTATTTGAACATGCTAGCTGTTTCATGTGTCTTAACAGCTGTAATGGTCTTTTGTCTCCTAACACGCAATGGTTGAAGTGTTTTCTCATATGAAACTTATGTGCGTTGAAATACAGCTGCTTTTATGTTATCATATGGTTCAGTCACAGACACCCGGTCAATTAGATCACCAACCTCAGCAGCTATTTTGATGGGGAGTGCGCCAACTACATAAGCATACTTTACTGTCTGTAAGCGTATGCTTGTAGCCATGAATACTCCTTCATATTTAAACCAACCAGAATCTTGGATTATTGGCTGCATATGTTGATATTCTGAATTCAGCGATAGCAGTGACATGGCTCACCAGATAAATGTGGCGGACCAAAATAAATATTAACTCAAAAATGGCAATGAAATTATTACGTCCAAAAAGGTAATATAGCAATATACAACTTATAAGTTATGAACACTAATAAGAGTCAAGGGACGTTGCTTAAATCAGCTGACTGGTGAGTGCTCAGTTGAGTTTGGTACCACAATTCACACTTATAGGTAAATAATTATTCCCGTGAGGTTAATATAGTTCCAGTAGTATAACCGAACGTTGAACGTAATGTGAATGTTACAACATCTATAAATAGAGATGATAGTTAATTAATAGTTCAGTTATCATATCCACAAGCATTGTAGAACGAGAGGCGTGTGTATAAGAGTGTGAGCAGTTAACAATGTTGTGCTATGTTGGATTCAAAAACGCAAGGAAGGAATGGGAAAGCAGCAGCACCTGACAAGATACCAGCTGAAGCACCGGAGTCAGACATTGAAGTAACTGCAAACATGCTTCACCTTCTATTCAAGATGATTTGGGAAATAAACAAGTGCCAAATTTCTGTAAAGAAGGATACCTCATCTAGATACCTGCGGTGGTCGACATTCGATATCATCCACAAACTACTACAGTCAGGATGATTCACCACAGTCACATAGACAAATATACACAGAAAGTTACAACTAATCGAGTCTCAAAGACTAGGGATCAGTAACGAGAGTTCCATAGGTTGAAAAACTATGTACGTGTAAACTAGATGCTTCGATGAAAAACACCCTCGAAACGCATGTGAAATTAGATGGTAAATTGTTACATTATTTATTCATAGCTGAAGCATGACATTCTATTGATCGACAGTCAAAAGGTTTGTTTTTAGAAAAGTGGTCATCTTTTGTATAATGAGAATTTCGCTCATACTTGCTCTGTGTGTGTTGGTGAATGTCAGCCAAATAGGCACAAAGTATTATTAGAAAGTGATGTTTCTTATTCTAACCGACCTTCATAGTACGTCCATTCTACATAACAAAGAATACCATATTGTTTGGTTAATGAGATGGAATGCCGTGATAGACAACAACAAAGTATAATAATCATTGATATTACTGTAAAGAACTGAGGTCAACAGAAGTTTGTTTTTGTTAAGAAAATGGTCAGATATCTATTACTCAGATTGAAGAAGTAATAATTTTCACCTTGACATTTTTACAAGATTTAACAGAAAATATAGAAGGGGGTTTTTAGTGGAGATTTAATATTTTCATATTTGAAAGCGTGAGTTAATTGAAGCTAGACCACCATGAAAAACCTGTAAGCACTGGACGACCAGAGCGCGAGACTAGTAGGTCCTTTGTTCGAATCTCACGAGTGCGAGATCGTGAATGCGCACTGCCGAGGAGTCCCATAATAGGACGAAACGGCCGTCCAATGCTTCCAGGTTTTTCCTGGTGGTCTGGCTTCAATTTGTTTAACAGAAACGATAGAACTTGGTGTTATCTTGTATTCAATCGGGATAATCGGACTGATTTCACAAACGCATACAGTTTCAAAATCACTGCATCATCAAACGAATAAGAGAAAATCGATGTATGGAAAATTTCATTTTCAAGTTTTCGAAATTCTTTCCATGGTTGTGAATGTGACAAATAGCTATCAACAGTGCTAATGATAACATTTGATTATGGGCAAATTATAAGACAAGCAGAATGCACTTACTTACTTACGCCTGTTATTTTCCGCGGAGGAGCTTGAGCCGCTAACCACCCCTTTCCATTCAATACTGTCATGAGCAATCCTTTTCAGCTCTCTCCATTCGCTATTCAACTGTTGTTTTAGACTTTGAAGGAAGAAATGGGATGGAAGCAAGGACCGATATAGACTTCAGACTGCTCGTACGAGTTTACTCATCATTGGTCCGGTAGACAGTCCATTGTTCTCTGATTGGTGACGT